CCTCGGGCTGGAGCGCCGCCGCGCTTCCCAAGCGGCGCACTTATCCAGTGCGCCACCGGGCTGGCCCGTTCTTCTCTTCTTTGTATTATTTCTGAGTCCAAGCTGGTTTTTCTGCTGTATATTCTAAAAACACCTTCTGGTATATTGGTGCTTGTGCTTGTTCCAAGTTGGTTTTTCTGCTGGATGTTTTAAAAAACCTGCTGGCACATTATTTTCTATAATAAAAGGATGAATGAAAGGCTATGTAGGTTAGTGTTGACTTGTCTGTCTTTATCCCTGGTAGAACAGTTAGGAAGTCCTACTTATGTCAGACAAGTTGTTAGTATGTACCTATATGTGTTATGGCTCATTGCACTTATACTGCTTCAGGGGACCTGACCCCAAAATTACCTTTCAGAAAGAAAAATTATTTTGTTACACATTATAGAATTTTATTCCTATTTTGAATTGCTGTCATGAATACAGTGATAATAAAACAGCGGCAAGTGTCTTATAAAAAAGAACAAGTGAGCAGTATGCGTCTGATGCAAAAATACAAAGAACTGAAAATGTTCCTTTTCAAAATGAAACTGTATTTTATAAATCAGATAAATTAATTAAAATAAAATATTGGGGTTTTATATGGTAAAAAAGGTCTTAATTTTATAATTAAAATAAAATTTGTATTCAAAAAAATATTTTCCAGACCTGTATATAAGTTGAGGAGTACCAATAACTTCACCTTTTTAAAAAATTGTCGTAACGTCTAACTTCATTAAGAAGTTAATTTATTCCAGTTCTGAGAAAGCCATTCAATAAAAGCAGTCTCTGAGACTTTGGAAATTTGCTTCTTTTACTACATAAGTAGTTCATATTGACCATGAATAGATTGTACTGTCCTGTGCTCTCTGGAAGGAGATTATGTGTTAGTATGCCTGAATGATTTGTATAGTTTACTTTCATATTATCTAATTACCTATAGTTCAACTTTACATTATCTATTTGTCAATCTATCTATTTATTTATTTTTTCTTGTCCTGAAGGAAAACCTAAATGTCAAACTGGTGGAAAATCTAAGAGGATAATTCAAGGCACTCATAAAAGTACTAAACAGGTATGGCATATACAACTTTTTACTTATTTATTTACTTTTAATTTCAATTCCTTAATGTATTATAAATTATAAAAATTGAATTTTCAAAATTTCAATATTATATATTTTATCTAAATGGAAAATTTTAATGTAATATTTTTATTTAACAAACGTGTATATAGTACTCACTGTGTGCCTAGCTTGTACTAACTACTTTACAAATATTAATTTATTTGGTTCTCATAATAACCCTTTGATTATTGATGTATGATTAAAACCACCTTTGTGTCTGCTCTGCTCTGTATCTCATGCACTAGAGAAATGCTAGATGAAACATGGCTAGAGAAAAGTATGGATCATGTTAACTAGGCTGTCTTCACATTTGTGACTGCTAACCCCACATAAGTAGTACTGTCCCAAAGTCCCATTGCATTTTCCTAGTTATTCACTCTCCGATCCTTCTNATGATTAAAACCACCTTTGTGTCTGCTCTGCTCTGTATCTCATGCACTAGAGAAATGCTAGATGAAACATGGCTAGAGAAAAGTATGGATCATGTTAACTAGGCTGTCTTCACATTTGTGACTGCTAACCCCACATAAGTAGTACTGTCCCAAAGTCCCATTGCATTTTCCTAGTTATTCACTCTCCGATCCTTCTAAACTTTTTCACATTACCTCATCTGTCTTCAAGATTTCAACAGTTCTCCTCCATCCTTGCTCTCAGATGATGGCCTTGTTTTCTATTTCAGTGAGAAAATAGAAGGGAACAGAAGAAAACTTTCACTTCCTCCCACAACTACATCTATCAATTTATCTCCAACTTGACCCATGCAGTCTGGCATTTCTTGCTATGGATGAATAGATCATGCTCATACCTAAGTCTTGTCTCCATTTGTGCACTAGATCCCCCATGCCTTTTCACTTTTTCAAAGTCATTGTTTCAGTAATTGTACCCTCTCTTTTTTGTACCATCAGTTTTTTGTCTCTTTGCTGGAATAGTCTCATCAGCATACAAACATGGTGTTATAGCTTCCATCTTGAATGAAACCATCCCAGTTAAGCTTTTGTACCTCTTCTCTGTTGAAAGAGCTCTTGAGAAAGTTAGTGGTGACCTTTGTGTGTTGTTAAATCCAGCGTTCATGTCTCAGTCTTTATCTTAGTTGATCCATCAGTGGCATTTGACACTTTTGATCCCTTGGTTCTTGGTACACTTTTTTCACTTCTATTCCAGGATACTATTTCTTTACTTGGTTGCTCCTTCTCAGTCTTCCTTGCTGGTTCTTTCTCTTCTACCTGACCAGTTTACATTAGAATGTCCCAGGGCTTGTCCTTGCTCTTCTCTATCTGCTTTCGCTTTCTTGCTGATCTACAATTTCCTGGCTTCAGATACTGTATATATGCCATTGACTTCCAAATTTTACATCTCCAACCTAAACTGCTTTCTTTAATTCCGGGCTTGTATATTCATTTCAGTTGCCTACTTGATGTTTATGTCTACTTAGATATTAATAAATATCCCCAATTTTTTTTTTTTT